TATAGTCAAATGAGATGAATGCGTATTTCATACTTTCTGTAATGTGAAAGAAACTTAAAGTTTCCTGTGGTAGAAGCTTGCTTCTGTTTGACTCACTGAATACTCTGAATACTACTGAACGACACCTCTGTCATTCTAAGGTCCAGAGGTGTCAGCCTGGTAAACTTTCTTGTTGTTTGTGAACTTGGTATTACAAGCAAAAGGGAAATGCTTTTGAAAAAGCAACAGAAAGATAAGCTGGGTTGTTTATTCTTTGTAAATTAGCACTCAAAGCCAGCAAAGGTAATGCCACAGACTTTTCTGAAATATCTGTGAGTAGGTTGTAATTTTCACTTAATAAGAGCTTGCAAGAGCTGGTGTGATTATTTCATCAGTGACTTTGCAAAATACAGGTTTAGAAATGCCATCATAAATAGAGTGAGTGATCTTTGGATCTCATTTTCCATCTCTACTCTCTATGCTAAAATCACCATATAAGAGTATTTTGTCCTGCCTTGATATTGTAGACAAGGCAGTGCAGGTAGATGATGGAGTAGGTGGGGAATATTTATTGCAACAGGAACATATGAAAGATGTGCAAAGAGCAAGTAAAATGGGAAAGGTTGTTTTTGGTTGAGAAAGGAAACTTCTTGGGCCACTTCGTCTTCCTGTAGTACTGTCAAGACAATGTTTCCTGTTTTGTTTTGTCATTTTATTTTCCAGTAGTAGTTCTGCTGGTCGCTGCCATGCTCCGCAGGAGGAACTCAAAGCTCTGGCCTAAGATTTTTGTGCTGGTGTGTTGCCTTCCTGGTGGTGTTTGCTCCCTTTCCAGGAGTGTAGCATTTTTTGTGCTACCCTGTGGTAGATATTTTATGACTTGAATGAATCATTTAATTTCACTGTGCTTCAGAGGCGTAAGTAGTAATCCACTTTTACTTTTCTCTGTTCAATGCTTATAAAATGTTCAGCTTTTTCCCTGGGATGTTCTCTGATGTGAGGATAAGGCTATTTTCCAAAGAAATGTGCAAGTAAAATGCTCTTGACCAGTAGTTTGTAAATGCTGTATTTGCTGTAGGTGTCATTTTCTTCTTCTAATTGCAAGTGCTTCAGCACTACTGAAAATCTAATTAGCCCTATAAAAGGAAGGCTAATTTGTAGAATTAGCTGATATTTGTAGGAAGAATGAAGACTGTAGGACAGAGTTAAGCTGAGAAAGTAAAGGATAATATTTAGTTGCAGCCATGGTAATGATCACAGAGGACACTCCTGTTTCAGAAGCTCTTTGACAAACACAGTCCCTATGAATAAATTGTTTTTATTCTGCAAGCCGCTTGTTTCTCCCTGAAACTGCACCAAGCCAGTCCCTTGAGGCAGTGTTAGGGTATTACTGTTCAGAGAATCTGGTTTTCAGGCAAAATTTGAAAACTAGGGCCTCACAATACATTTCAGTATTTTGATGGAAATAACATTAGCCTTAAATTGCAGCTGTGTTTTTAATTCCTTGAGTTTTAGCTGGCTACCTTCAGCTGACAGGACCTGAGGGAATGTCTCGAAGCTGTGTCAGGAGAGGGTTAGGTTGGATGATAGGAAAAGGTTTTTCCCCCAGAGGGTGTCTGGGCACTGAACAAGCTCCCCATGGAAGTGGCCACAGCACCAAGCCTGGCAGAGCTCAAGAAGCATTGTGACCATGTTCTAGGGTACATGGTGGGAATGCTGGGGTGTCCTGTTCCAGGGCAGGACTTGGACTTGGATGATCTTTGTGGCTCCCTTTCAGCTCACGATATTCTGTGATTCTTTCAACATTCACCTTGTTTTGCTAGAACAGTCCTTTTGCTGTATGACAATGGGATACTTTTCCTGGTGGTGAACACAGCTAAACCTGGAGCATGAAGGAGCTGATTGAGTGGTCTGAGATGCTGAGACAGCAGAGTAGGTTAAGGGCAGGATTTTCCCCTGTACTGATAAGGTAGGTATCAAGCTGATTTCTAGTTGTACATTTTTACACATGCACTATGTATGTGCATGTATATACATGTAAATAGATACAGTTTTTTCAATAGGACCTTTCCCCACCCCTAAATCCCAAACCTGGCCTGTGAAATTAATATAGCTGAAATATTTTATTATTTATTGAGATCTAAGAATGCAAAATCTGGAAGAAATGCAGACTTGGAGGCACTTTTGAAGTGTACTGAGGAAGACAGATATAAAAATGTTGAGTCACGTCGTCTTTGTGCACTTACATTGGTTATGCAGAATTCTACAGTCATTGCATCCTGCTGGAGGACACAAGGATTCCTGTTACACTGCCAGCACATTGAAAAATTCCTGGAGGAATCCCCTGGTTGCTGCTTTCCAGCAGCACCTCCACATCTGCTCAGAGAATCAACTGTGCCCCAAGCCATCAATTTCCCCCAGCAGTTCAAGGCACAGGAAAACTACCTTGAACTTGTACGTTGCAGTAAGTCATTCATGAAAGACGAATTCCTGGAAACTTGGGAATTTGTGCTCATCCAAACGCAGAGATGTGACAGCAGCTTGAAAATAACTGCAGCTCCCCAGAGGCAAAGCACTGCTATGCTTGGGCTGCAGCAGCCTGGCACAGAGAAGGGTGAGAGAAGCCACAGCAGGACAGGTGAGGCACCAAAAATGCCTTTATCTTCTTACCTGTGACCTTTTGGACAAAGTCACCTTGTATCCACCCAGGACATCAGACAAAGCTGCTTTTAAGAACACTGATGCAAAAATGACGTCTGGGGTGGTCATTTATGGTTCAAGTAGCGGTTTATATATTTATTATCATTATACACAACCTTGACAATCTACATTGCCATTCAAAAATAAATTGAAGTCTTGTCAGTTTGCACATGATCTGTCACTACTAAGAATCCCATTTACATACATCGTAAACATTTTCCATACTTAAACACCGCTTTAAATTCTGACGCTCCCATCTCTTCCCCCCCTTCAACCCATGGAGATATGGTTATCGACTATGGAAAGAAACTTTTCCACTTTTCCAACCACTGCAACATTCAGGGACTACCACCTTTTTTGATCAGCTTAATTAAACTATTTCAACACTTTGTTGACCAAGTGGCCAGAGGTGGCTGGTGGGTATAGCTCAATTATATTCTTGTTTAAAATGATTCTTGATGGATTTCATTGCAATGAATCCTGGTTTTCATTGCTTGATGTATTTCCTCCTGACCAGGAAAGAAGGAATCCAAGTTTTAACAGCTGTATCAAGTAAGTCACATCAAGCACATTCCTGGTTTAGTATTCTGCAGTGCCAACAGTCACATTTAGTTGTTTTCACTGTTATTTACAGGTGTAGTAAGTGGCTGAAGTCTTCAAATTTCATCCAGAGAGAATTAAGAATTCAGCTAGGAGTCAGCCACCACAGACTTTCTGTAGCTACTAAGAGCTTGTGTTTATACTCCCAACTGCTATCTTGGGAGTTGAAATTAAAATTTATGAGGCATTAACGCCTTTTGTTAAACATGTTTTTTACCACCTCTTTTGAGAGTTTCTGTCTCCTGGTGCCTGAATGATGAAAAAACTTAAGAGTAGCAGAAGTGTAAGAGGCAATAGAATATTTCTCCATCCAGTTAATAAACTCACAGCTAGTGGCAATTAAGAATAAGCAAGCAAACCTTATACCAGCCCACAACTCAAGTTTGGGCATCTGAGCTTCACTTGAGAATGGCTCACAGAGGTGTGGAAGTATTACAGCGTGATTACACAGCAATGAAAAGTCCTATTTTGAGGAATGAGGTTCATGATGGCACCGGTCTACAGGAATTGAATTTAGCTTCTACAGCAGCTGGGCAGGTGCTTTGAACCAGCAAATGCAGTGTGTTTGCAGCATGGCTTCATGTTTTGGACGCTAGCATTGGTTAACTGACAGGCATGGAAAACCAGAGCTCTGAGAAGTTTAGATTCCAAGCTTTGTTAAGGCTGTTCATTTTTCACACTGATGTCAAAAAAATAATTGGGAAGAAAAACCTCCTGCCAGCTCCTTGCTTGTTTCCCGAAATTACGCTTCCATAATCCCTACAGGAAAACTCCCACTTAAATATGGGGTATTTGAGAACTGTTATTAGCAATCCGTAGGAGAGATGGCGTTCAGCACACAGAGATGCTGGAAAATATTAAGGAATTTCCAATGCCGAAGATACAAAGAAATCTCATCAACACACAGATTGGATGCTGTACATCAGTATCTTCCACTTGTAGGTGGGAGAAGCAAAGCCTCCATCCCACACACCACAAGGTGTCCAGAATGCTGGAGCTGCACGGCAGACACTGCACTGCCCCTCCTGTGCTGTGGTGCCAGGGACAGGGCACCTTCCCCCTCACTCTGCCCCGGGGCTGTGGGAGGCAGAGTGGGAATACAGGCTGTGGAATACAGGCTGGGTGTTCCCCAACTGCCTGTGAGCATTCAGGACCCAGCTGCTCACCACTCCATATTTTGCAAGCCTGCCCCAAAGGCAGTATTTAAGCAATGCAAGGACACTGCCAGAAGCCAGGAAGGGAGAGGAGTCTTCATTCAAATTCAGGCAACAACAAAATCAAAACCTTAATTCAGAATCAAGGGGTATTTTGTCATGAAGCAGCAGCTTCAAGAAAGGAGAGCATAAAACCCTAACTTACGTGTTACAAATCTGTTTATGTTACATCTGAATGAAGTTCAAAGAAACTCCCTGGAGCCTAAAGTACCGCAATACAAAAAGTGTACAGGAACTCATGAATCAGCTCTAAACTAGACTTAGTTTAGTGAAGAAAATTAAATTAATTTTGAAGTCCTTTCTTGAGCAAGTTCATTAATGCTCCAGACAGGAGAGAAGAAGTCCTCTTTAAAGGCAAGGAAACTCTTACTGGTAAAACAAAACAATGTATTTATGCTGGTTTGTTATCAGATCCTTACATGAAACTTTAGAACTTGATTTATAAAACTTTTGTTTTTTAAACAAACTCTACTGCCTTTACAAAGATAGTGTTGCTTCCTTTTTTTTTTCCTTTTTGTGGGACAGAGGGAACATTTTCAAATATCAGAAATATATCTTGCCCTCAGCAGAAAGTTTCAAGTAAGACATTACCAACAAATTCCTGCTGTTGTAATATACAAGATGCAGAGCAGCAGAGTACTGCTGGTTCCCTAACAAAACTTTATGTAGCAAAGACTCACTCTGGTGCTGTCAGGGTAGGCAGAGGGAACTTGCTCATTGAGTCTGACACACAAAACCTCAAGTTGCGCATAGTACGTAAGTACTTAAATCTGTCCTGGTAAAATCTCTGTAACAGGAACCAGATTACATACGAGCAAGTCATATATTAATGTCAACTCACTGAGGAAGGATCAACTCTGCCATCCCAAATGGGATTCCTAACATGGACCTCAAGAGCCAGCTTCTGTGGGCAGTCTGTGTCAGCACTCCTCTTCAGCAGGGATCTAGAGACAGACCAGATGCACAGCAAAAAAAACCCTATTCTAGTAAGAAAACTTGACTACAACTGTTTGTCTGAACCATATCTGGTTTTGAGCGTGCAGAATTATTCTAGCCTTTAACCTAAGCATTGCCTCACACATCTGTGATGTAGTATTAAGCATCTGATGGCCATGAGCAGAGGACATTGTTCTTGCACATGACCTTTTAGCTACTGAAGAGCTGACATTGGAGATTCCTGCAGTTTGTGCTCTTCTGCCACAGGTACCAAGAAGTCTACCTAGACAAATTATTGTGTAGCTGGATTTTAAGAAGCCAGTACTTGAGAATGCTACTCATTACACTGCTGTGGTAAAAGCCATTAGGATATAAATGGTCTTAAAGCCTATGAGACCAAAGCCAGCTCAGCCTGACAAAGGACAGCTGATGCTGCAGTACCGTCACCCCCTCAGTGCCAGAGGTGTGACTACCGTGGCAGAACTCAAGACTGAGGTTGCAGAACAGCTCTCCTCAAGGTCATTCAGTTTTAGTTCAAGGGCATTAAACATGTAAACTGAGGTGTCAGACCATCCACACTGATTGCATGGAAGAGGAACAGGAACGGGAGCCAAGTACAAGCATCTCAGTCACTTGATGTCAGTTGTGACGATACAATTCCAGTACTTGAACTAGTCTAGGCAGATTTATGTACAGCCATAAATTATGCTTCCTTTGTCTGTGAAGATATGTGAGGGTGGAATTCACCTATCCCAGGGCTCACAAATCACGTTTTGTAGCATGAAGTGGTAGAAGATGAAGGGCACAGCTGAAGATAAAACAGCTGCCAAAGCCAGAAAGATTGTAGTTCTTGTTTACAACAGCAACACCTCCTATAGGAGAACTGCTGTAGGAGTGCCTGGTTAACATCTGGATTTGTTTCTAGGACAGAGTTCAAGTCACTGAAGCAATACACTTCAACTTATTTCAGTTTTTTATGCTGGGTAAAGAAATTACTTTTTATAGTCAGAGTAGCCCATTCCCACTCTGGTAACAGAAGAGCTGTTTGGAGTCAATAGTGACTGGCTTTAGTAAGTGCTGCAGTACCCCAGTGACCGACAGAAGCATTTGGAATATATTTGGAACATACATTGGACCTTGACAACGTTTAAGAGGTATCAAAGATAACAGTGACTCTACTGTGTAATACATTGTAGACACTTTCATTAGAGAGCTAAATGACAAAGCCAAGTGGTAAGCTATACAACTTCATCAAGTAGATTCCATCTCTGGGGTAATAATATCCAGTTTTTAAGCTCTTTTGTTTTGGTCCTTGACCAAAAAAATTACGTGCTGAGCATCAAGGCTTAAATAAGCTCTCAGCATTTCTTTCAAGTTTGCACCAAACAGCATTTAAGCAACCTCAAAATCAGGGTGGTGATACCCAGTTTACACAGCACTGTTTGTGCTGTTTCTCCTCCCCAGGACAAGATACGATCAAGATGTAAATTGAATTCAAAACAAAAGAAGTGGAAAGTAGTTCCACGTGCAATAAGACATTTTCAAGGGACAGCTACGCAGCAGGCCTTGAATGTTCTCCCCTTTCATCCTGTTCTCACCAGCATCACCCCGTGCTAAGCGCAATAGGGTATGTACAGCGATGTGCAGAGACCAGGAACTCCAGCACACGGCAGAGCCACATGCTGGAGCAGTTTGTAATGAAGACTGGTAGTGGCATGGGAACCCAAAAAACGCTTAAGCTCGTATTACTCAGTTCCTATGAAAAAGACCGTACAATTTTCATGGTACATCAACAAGATGGACTGGTATGCCAACTAACCTCTATTTTAATATTTAAATTATAACAATACAATAACTAGAAAAGGTCAGTGCTTCAAGTGACAGCTTTTGCCACTTCAATTCCAATATTTTTCCAAAATAAAGATGCGATTAGATCTACACTTGAGCATCAGTAGTGCAATACAGTATCCTTTCCTGAATAAAGGAGCTGAGGTTTATCCACAATAAAAGCTTTAAATAAGGTAGATTGTTGCCATTTATATATCAATTCTGTATGTTTGATATAAAATATATTGGGAAAGCTTCAACTGACTTATACAATCTACATTTGGCTAAAGCTCCACATAAGCAGCATCAGTGGAAATGAACATCAGAGGTGTACTTAATATAAAACACTTTCAAAACTACTCAGCAACAAATGACAGAAGTTTGGCTAAGAGTAACTGAACATCTGAGGTGTGTACCAGACAAAAAGAATGGACCCTGTGGTTACTTGCACTATTTTAATGAAGTAAAAGAAATGCAAGGTCTTAGTCCACTTCCATTTCTCCGGGGGGTTTGGTCTGCTGCGGGTTGTCCTTTGCTGGTTCGGGTTTTGTTTCAGCAGCGCTCTGTCCGTTCACTGGCCCGTTGTGCTCCCCATTAGCTTTGGGCTGCCCGTCACTGGGAGGTTCTATCTTCGGCTTGGGCTTGGATAGAATGGGATTACAGAAGCTATCCAATTCCTAGTTGTGACACAGGTGAGACAGCAAGGTCATTTGGTGGCACAGCAACTGCATTCAACTAGAACGTCTCTAATTTGTTTCTGGTTCGTAATGGCCTGGAGTTTCATTATCAAAGACCAGACTTCTCTATTCTATCAAGCCTAGAAACTTCAAAAAAGGTCTTTCACTACCTGAGGACTTCTTTATTTGTTACAAACCTGTATGACAACCCATTCTGTAGAAACCTGGTGCTGTAACTCCAGCTATTTTAAAAGGATTGTGCAGAGGTAACTACTGTAAACCAAGAGCCAGCACTGAAGAGTGCTGTAACTGCTGCTCCCTCTGTATAGATCTTGTAATAGCTTTAAAACCTCTGCAGATGTAATATTCTAGTTCAGTTCTAGGCTAAAGCCTGGTTCAGGAAAAATTAAAACTCAACAAGTACAATTTTTATTTTTTTACCTTAGATTTTGCTAGTATTTCTGCCACTTTGACAACTGGATCCTGAGTTAGACTGAGTTTATTCTGGGCATTCATTTTGCTGTTCAACCAATTCATAGCCTCATTAATGTATTTTTCAACTTTCTCCATCTCAGCAGGATCTAGATGGTCGTATTTTTCATCCTGAGGAGAGAGACATGTATTTGTAGCACCCACTAAAATATGCTGCTCACCCAATTGAGTTAATCTTAGAAGTTACAGATACACTGGTAACAGCTGTAAATTCAGAGATCCATTTCAAGTGATGCCAGCACATGAATCTTTGATGTATGTTCTCATGAAGAAGCTCTTTCTGCTAGCAATGCAGAACAGGTTTAAAGTTCTCAGAAGTACAACAGCCCTTCTAAAGCAGTGCAAGAGGAAACTTTACAGGATTTGTTTAAACACAAAAGACTCTACAGCCAAAATCAAAACACCTATAATCACTGAACAGCTGAAATCATTTGGCTTTACCTTATTTTTGTATGCTTCTACTGCTTTCATAAGGAGCTGAATTTTCTTTCCCAGTTCATTTAGAACTTTTGGTCTCTCTTCATGTTCCATGCATCTTTCCTGGATAGGCTGTCCAAATTTCTGGAATATTAAGCATAAAGATCTTTACAGAACACGTATTTCCTTTAGTGTGCTCTAAGAATAAAATGCAGCATGGGAAGGAAGGCTGCCTTTAACTCCTTTTCCTCACCCATTCAAAGAGCCAAGTCTTTGTATACTGCTTTAGTCCAACAACATAAAAAAGCAGAAGTTAAAACACAGGAATAGTAACTGTCCTTTCTAGGGTTGGTAGTTTGCTGTTTTCTGCAAGAAAAGCATTTGGAACAGAAACCAGTTAGGCTTTAACAGATGCTTTAATTTTCAAGTAGTTCATCTGAAAACTTTTAATTTTATCCACTGTTTGCTTTTTCCTTCTCTTGAATGCTGGTATCCAGGCAGCTGCCTGGATCTACACTGCTGTTTGCATTAGTTATTCCTCCCCCTGAGGAAATGTGACTGCAGAGTAAACAGCTGGAACCCAGGGGCTAGACACATACTTCAGCTTACTAGGAAGTGGGTAGCTATTCATCAGAACTCACATTTTCCCCATCAGATCCTTAAAATCTGAAGCGTTTAGGGGGTGTTTGTCATCAATAATCAAATGATACAATGGAAGCTACTGTTAAAGCACTCCAGAGCCTTTACTGCTGGATATTAGACCCAAAAATTGGTCTTATTATACATCTGCAGAAGATCACTGAGAACAGGAAAACAGAATATATACTCTGGAACTTAATTCTCATCACCCAGGAGTGCAGTCTAACTACTCAAAAGCCTCTTTCAGACTGTAAGAAATCTGTCAGAAAATTCCCACAGCAATTAAATCTATTGTCATTAGTGACAGTCTGCTTCAGTTCAACCATTTTCAAATTAGGAACACAACTCACATTAAACTGTACTTCTAGATCTAAACATTATGCTCATTTCATAACTGAACATACACAACCTGAACACCCACCCCCAAAAATACATGAATGAGTTTTCTAGAAAACGAGTTAAAATCTTACCTTTAATTCTTGAAGCTTATCCATGTATACTTGTTTTGGCTGGTCCTCTCCATCTTCATAAAGCCAGTTTTCTGTGTCCTCCAACATCAAGGTCAGCTTGTTTGAATCCTACAAAGCAAGTTATGGACACTCCAAGTCAGAAAGGAACACATCAAATGAGACTTCTCTCCTTGGCAAAAACCCACCCTACTCAAAACAGGACTGCTTCATCAGCTTAAAATATTCAAAGTGATAGTGAAGAAAAACAGTAATTAACAGACTTCAAAGCCAAGATTTTACAGTGATTAAAGAGGCAGGACAGCCCTACTCATGTGATTTGCAGGTGAAGTTTACCAGAGTTATAAAATCAGTCTCGAGGCTATTTAAGACAGTCCATGCACCTCTGAAGAGTGTTCCACATCATCTGTTCACTTCCTTTTTACTCCTACCCACTCATGCCATTCAGAAGCTCATGGTGATCTGTCCTACTTTCCCATGCTGACCACAGGGTTTTTACTTTCTTCCTGCATCCCTGATCCTTCCTTACCACTGAGGAGTTTCTGAGGCAGTAAAGAACTCTGCAAGTCAAATGCCAGGTGTAAGCGTTAACTTGAGCTTCACTGCTGGGAAGCCAAGGCATCTCCTATTCCAAAACTAGTCCAAGAGACCCCTGCAGCCTCCACAAAACATACACAAAATTTATAAATACAAAGGAACTTTTTCCAACAGCTGAAGCATACAGGTAAGTCTTACCTCTTCAGTGATAAATTTCTCAAAGACTCCACACAGTTTGTCTCTGAATTCATACACATATTCTTCAACAGCATTCTTAGCATCATTTCGTTCTTTCTCAAGCTTGTCTTGCATCATCATCTTCCCCTAGGGTGGAGCAAGACACACTTAAAACTGAAAGCATTTTTAAGTGTTCAGCTTAGTCACTACTCTTGAAACTGTACCAGAGAACTTGGCAGAGGCCTGGTAATTCACAATTATTGATAAAAACGTTCACCTTTGTGTAAGTCATCACTACAAGCACAACCACAATGGGCTAAGGAAAGTCCAGAGAAATTGAGTCATTTCACCAAAAACCCCAAACCACAAAACCCGTTATAATTAAGGGCAACTTCCTAAAGAATTCTAAATTAGCTATGTTGATGATTGCAAATATTTTTTAGATACTTATTTACAGTGACATTAATTTGAGTGGCCACCTCTTTATGCTGCTTACCTCATTTTCTATGTAGGAATTGATCAGATCTTGTCCCAGCTGCCTATAGAGGCTCGCCTGTATAGGGAGGTCAATACTCTTAACTTTTGTTTTAGCCTTTGGCTGGGAGGGATGATCTTGCTTTTCTCCAGAAGAAGCCTATGAAAAGAGTGACACTACTGAGAAACCTCCCAGGAATGGATATACTACTACATTTATGCTCAAAAAAGAGAGACAAAGAAACTAGTTAAGACAGCTACAAATTAATCTTATGTAAATTTAAGGACCTAATTATTCCTCTGTATCCAAAATCACTATTACCTTAGTTTGGAACCAAACAGGTGAAATTTAATTTCTTTAAAGAACTGTTAAGAAAACTTGAAAAGCTTAAAGCACTGTGTATTATTCTTCACAACGTCTCCTAATCTTCCTAAATTCCATCTTCATTGTAAAACCAAGTTAAACAGCAGAAACCTACTTCAGTTTCCAGTGTAGCATGATTAAAACTTTGAAGTGCTATGGTAGGATTCTTTACTTAACCATTTCAATATAGCTGTTCTCTAAACAGAGTCCCATGTTTTTCAACTAGCAAAATCATTAAATGTGAGAATAGAGGGCAAAAAATATGTTATATCAATACTGAATACAAACCTTTGTTTCAGTTCCAGCATTTTCACTTTCCTCATCTGCTTGGTTCTGTTGTTCAGCTTGACTTTTCTGCACACCTTCTTCTTGATCAACCTGCATTTTATCCTGCAGAGAGTTACATAACTGAATGCAAAGGTTTGCTGTAAGATTTAGGACTGGTATCAATTACAGCAAATCACAGACAACACATGAATTTCAGAATCAATCTTAAAAATTTATCCTTCACTATGTTTAAACAGGCATTTTGATGTAGTATTTATATCTTTCAAATTCAAATGAAAATTCTACTCTGTTGCTTGATTTTGCTGTCTGTCCCTGTTACATAATTACACTAAGCCTTGTGAATACTCACTTTAAATTAGAAACAAATACATATAAAATGAAATCAAAGAACATTCTAGCAACACACCACCACCAAAGGAAACAACAATGGATTCTCTATGGAACAGCCAGAACTTTGACTTCCTGTCATTTTTGACCAAAACTTTAAAGTTTACAAACCAAAGCAGAAATAATTTAACCACTGCAATTATTACCTGCACCTGTCTCACAAGACAGTGAAAACAATAAAAATTAGCATCTGTAGTAGTTGCTCATGTACTCCCAAGAGGCTGCTATCTTTCCTCCTTGCCACCCAAAATAAAGACAGCCTGACTTAAATTTTTCAGTAAGTTTATCACTTATTCTAAATTTAACAGTCTGAAAGACTGTTAAATTACTAATGCAGATCACGTGGTTTAAGTAATACAGCTCCATGTCATCACTGAAAAACACTTTTAATGACACAGTAATGGGTAAGCCTGAAGTTTCCAGGATGATTCTAATCATCAGAGATCCAGAGCATTAATAACTAACAAGCTGTAGCTAAGGTCTGAAAGGCCCAAGATTGCCTCCATTACAAGGAATTCACAGACTACATATGCATGTAGGATAATTTACTACTAGTTCTGCAAATTAATAAAAACAATTATTTAAGGATTTCAAACTCTAGCACAGGTTGCAATTTGAAGTGGAAAACAAGAAGGCTACTTCTACCAAATTTAAAGTTTTGTCACTTCAGAGTAGAAAATAAGTAATATCTAAGTCCTCATTTGCTGTTCTTACTGTTCACACAGAAAAGCCAACAACTGGAAGGAACTGCTTTGCCTATAGGAAATAGCTACAGAGGGAATAATAGAACACATAGACACCACAAACCTCCTCCTCAGAGTCGAGGGGATCATCCTCAATACTGAAAGGTAATTGCTGACAAGCACCATTGTAAAACAGAAGATGTGTTAGATGCATGAAATGCTACAAACAGAAAGCCTGAGCATGGAAGCAGCTACTCTCATTCTGAATTCAGTACACTACCAGTAAGCTCCACATGCCTCTTACTCCAAATGTCAGCTCTAGCACTCCCAACCTTTGCTCACTTCATTACAAACATCATGTATGGAGCACTTGCCCACAAGGACCTGCACCATGTTCAGCACTTCAAATATGCCCACATTCCTGGAAAGTGGCATAGTATTTAAGAAGTTGCTTATACCAATTATGTAATCCTTCTTGTGTAACCATTTGCTCTAATTCCTGTAGAATATCCAACTAAAGTGGGAGAAGCTAAGGCAAATTCTTAGGAGAAATGCTGCCAGGGCCAGCGCTGGTGCTGCTGTTTCCAGCTCCAAAGCGTTCCCTGGCACGCAGATCTCAACTCTGCACTGCAAAGGGGCCCAGCTGCACCTCACAGGGAGCTATTTTCAGGAGGCAGTGTAGCTCTCCATGTATAAAGAAATAGCATATTTTTTTTTTACTCATTAAAAACATAGCTTGTGAAGAAAAACCTTTGGAATTTGTCGACAGATCTCATTAAATACGTTGCCTTTTGCTAGTGACACTAGATAATGCTAAGACTATTAGAGAGATTATGAAGAACAATGAAAAAACGACTTCATTTTTTTAGAATCCGTTTTTTCCGTTCTTTGTTCTTAGTGCCACGCTTCACCAGCACTTAAGCAATAAACATGAAGAAATGTGTTGCATAACCGAAGCAGTAATTTAAGGGTGGAGAAGCAGTAACTGTCAGAAGCGGAGCACGGTGATTTACCCTGCAATTATCAGCTCTGGTGTCAGAACGACAGTGTAGATGTTTACAAGCTTTACATACCAGCTCCTCATCTCTGCCTTGGTTCTTACTTGCTGACTCGGTGTCCATGGGGGTGTCGTTGTGCTCCCCCTCGATGCTCTGCTTCTCTATGATGGACGCGTTGGCCACGCTGAACAGCCCGTGGATGTTGACGCGCACTTTAACCTTCACCTTGGAGTTGTCGCCGTCATGCTGGGGACCAACGTTCTGAATAGTGAAACGCCCTTGGAAACAACAGAGGTGGCTTTAATTGTTGTACCAAAATGCAGAGAATGAGGGAAAAAAAAAACCCAAATGCATTCCTTTAAGGGTGTTAACTTAAATAGCAACTTCACATAACTGAAACTATTTGGAAACTTTCTACGTAGTTGACAATCCTACAATGTAAGCTGCAGGTAGATAAACTAAAAGCTGGTTCCCCAATTATTACCAGTTCACTGATAATTAATAAGATGTTTTTGCTTTATCTGTATTCCATAAAAAAACAAGACAGTACTTTTCTAGGTGTTCTACTTCTCTGTTGCCTTCTGTAACCACACTAGAGAAACTACTCTGATTCATCTCAAATGGTTTCTTTTGTCCACGTAACTCAAACTTCACACTGAAAAATAAAACGTTAACAGAGATAAAATATTCTGTTTGAATTTGGTAACATGGCTACACTACATTTTTTGGAGAATGATCAGTGCTCAGAAAGGTTTCTAAAAGCTGTGGGTTTGATACTTTATTTTGAAACTTGCTGAAAATTTAAGTATAGATGATGTGCATATGTGAAGAAGAATGCTTCTTCCTCAAGACCACAGACTTCTTGCATAGACAGCCAAATATATAGCAATAAATTTGTACCTGATTCATAAGTCAGTGAATAAAATAATGAATTAATGAAGCCAAGGAGTGTACTAATAATTGCAAGTAAGGTGGCATTAGCTAACAAGAAACTTATTTATGCCATCTAATTCTTTAGACTCTACTACAGATGCTTAAATTGAGGAAACACCTGTATTTTATATTCTCAGGTTAACAGAAAGAGACATGACAGATCACATGAGACAAGTTATCTGTCCAGACAGGCAACAGCTCCTTTAATCCAATTTCTTTGAAAAACCCAGGCTGGCAGGCACATAAGATCCTTATCAATTTTACAGAGACTGAAAGAACCAGACAACAGAGCACTGAACTCTTACTGCATACTTCTTTTGAAGCATTCAGAAACTGTAAAGATAGACAGAAGGCAGAATTTTTTTCAGTCATGTCCAACAGAGATGTCAATATGGTTTTGCTCACTACATTTAAATCAGGAAGCCTGTGCTGAGACTTTCTAAAGAACCTAAGTTTTTCTGTAAGCTAGAAAATATGGAGATAATGCATCTTACAAAAAAGAAGAACCACTTTTTCCTGTATCAACAGGAGTTAGGAATGGGGGTTTTATTCCCATGTCCTTACCTATTCTGGAATCAGGATAAGGCACTTCATGTGGATGGGTATAATAAGCTTCCAAGTCAAAAGGCTCTTTCTTGTGGAAAGTAATTACTTTTGAGAATGGAGCAGCATGGTTCTTACTGAAGACTTCACACTCCCTAAAGCAATAAACATTAGATAACATTAAACCTCTAAGCAGAATTTCATGGATAATCAAAGTCAAGGTATGTTAACAATCAACTCCTAACCAAGCAGCAGTGATTTAGTTTAGGTCAGTTTTTAACAAGAGTTGGAGGCTGAAAGCCTCTAGGTCTCAAAGCTGGACTCTGCATTTTGTCACACTTACTAAAAATTAGGCAACTTCACCCCAACATTTTAATTAATTGTATTTCCCATTGTTAAGCAGTAACTGGAACCCGAAAGGTAAAATGCTAAAAAAGAAAATTAAAATTTCAAGTGTACAAGTGCACAACAGCTTCAAAGCCTGAGGCCTGTTTTTTTCCACAGCTCAACATTTTTCTTTATATCCAAACACACACGGTTTTGTAGGCACTGTACAACTTACCCTGTTCCTTCTTCGTAAGATGATTTCCATCTCAGTGTTATAGAGTAAGGAACAACATCTGTGATGGAAAACTCACGCACTTTAAAAGCTGGAGAAAGAATTGCACACTAGAAAAAAAAAAAAAAGACCAGAAGTTTATTATATCCATGCAGTCAAGTAAACAGCAAGTACAAGAATTAATACTTATCATATAGGCCATATGGAGGTCCTGCTTATCACAGACTTTTTTTTTAACAGAAACTTCATAGAATTCACTAAATTGAAAGACTTAACTAAAGTAATAGATGTTACTTCCTCAATGATTTTCAGTAAAGATATCCAGCAAAGGTTCCAAGTGATGACACAGAAGTGCAACAGCAGAATTTAACAGGTCTTTTTAGCAAGCCCATCCTTCTAACATGACACAGCAGCAAATTAATGAATGTAACAGAATCATTTCTGACATGGTCACAGTCACCAGATAGTGAAAGAATGAGTTAAGACTCTGCATCTTGTTTCAGCTGCAGTACATTTTGCTTGTGGTTAGCTGTATTTCATTAGTACATTATGTTAAAGAAGCAATACTAAAGTTTTATTTCAGGAACTATACCTGCAAGGCACAGCCTCTTGCAACAGCTTCATCAGCATTTAGTGTGGTGCTTATCTCTTTACAGAAAAAGTTAGAGATCTGTTCTTTCACTGCTGGAATTCTAGTAGCCCCACCTACTATTTCTATACTGTAGATATCTTCACGCTGAAGTTCTAGAAAAGAGAGTGCATGCCCTTAAGTTATCATCAACATATCAGAAAGCTATCTTTGGACAAAAAAAGAAGAGAAAAAAAGATAAAAGTTCTCTTATTATCTAGACACTGTGACAAGCACTGAATGTATTTCATGGCTGACAAGAAAACTCTTTGTCTCTACTATAGGCTACAAAGTTTTCTAGTTGCATAAACCTGAGAAACGCAGAAGCCAAGCATTCTTGCACGGAATGAGAACAGCTGTCCTTTAAGTGTGTTGTCCACGTGCATCCTCTTTCAGCTGTGCATAAACTCCTAAGGGTGAAATTGGGTCTTCCGCACTATTGGACAATACCTCACCTCTCCCAAACAAAACCAACAAAATTAAACCCAAATAGATCTCATTTTGTGTCTGGCTGAATTTTGCTTGCCAAAAGAGAAGAAGAAAACCTTTTTTAAGCTAATGTATCTAAGAAATAACACAGTGTGCTTGAAGGTTAACTTTTTAATTCTGAAATCAGGATATGTGTATGAAGTCATCTCAAACAACTGTCAGTCCTTGAACAGCTTTGTTCAGCAGTTACTCAGCTTTTTAATTCCTGTATTTCTGTATTTGCTATCTAGCCAAGTCACAAGATGACCAGAATTCTTCCCTTTCTTTTAGTTGAAGGTGATGGAATTGAGGGTAAAACCTTTCCTATTAAAAGTCTAAATTCTCTCCTTCACACTACATTAGACAAAGGAAAATAAAACAATATAAAAAAATTACTTTGTTATTGGCACATGCTTTAGGTAACTCAATTTAAGAATATACTGCCAAATGACCAGGTCAGTGAGGACATATAAGTATCACATGGAACAGGCTGGCCAGAAGGTTGCAGTAAAGAATAATACCTTTTACCATCATCGTTTTGGTTTGGTTGTTTGGTGCTTTTTAATAAATTCAGAGTGCCAACCTTTTCCATGACACAGGGTGAACGAGGGTCAATAACCAAGGTTGCAGAGTAGCATGTGCACTAAATGAGGCGGGAATGGGATCATGCATTCATGGCAAGCATATGAATGGAACTTACATTTAACTTTTCAGTATTTAGCTTTGCAATTCTAATAAATACAAAAATACATTGAAAAGATAATCATTAAAGAGATCAGGAATGACTGGATTGCTAGCAGCACCTCAAGTAACTTCTACTTACTGGCTTGATCCATGGCTGCTCTTAGAGGAGGCTCCACTCTGGCCAGAAGGGCAGCACACAACTGCTCAAACTGAGCTCTGCAGGGCAGGGAGAGTGCTTGGTGTTACCAGGCTGCTCAGAGACCACAACCCTCTGCCCCTCAGTGGGAACAACACCCAGTACCTGTTCATCTTACTGGAGACATCCAGGTCATTCATGAAGCACTCGATATTGAGTGGAAGGTCAGATGCGTTCGCACTCATCAGCTTCTTGAGCTTTTCACATTCCTGATACAATCGCAGCAGTGCTCGGGGATTCTCTTTTACATTCAGTTTGTATTTTGTCCTAAATTCTTCGGAGAAGTAATCTACCAAAGCCTCATCAAAATTCCTACCACCTATGAAAGGGTCAAAGGTAGTGGCCAAGACCTGGCAGAAGTCAAAGAACAAGATCACAAGTTATCAGACAAGGTTTGTTCTGTGTCATTTACTCAGTGCAGCAAGATGTGACATCATCGCCTTCCACACAGCTTCAGGTGGCATTGGCTACCAGAGACAGGCCCACAAAAGCATTAGGCTCTTAGTAGACAGACAAAAAACTCTCCAAGCCAGAAAGCAAAGACTGCTCAGCTTTACTTCACATCCCACTGGATTCAGACTTTGAACTGTCATGGATGGCACCAAAAAAAATAAAAAAAACCAACATCTCAGAGTGACTCAAGGCAACTCAAGAATCTCCCATGAGTGAGTCAGCTGCACAACTACAACGCTTAGGAGGCTCCCTGAATATGCAAATACTTCAGGGATATGGTAAAACCTGTGCAGTGTCCTCAATTGTCAAGCACTTTCCAAAACACACTTTAGGATGCTTCACTTCTGCATTTTACGAAAACTGACTTGATGAAATAGTCAAAATCTAACATAATTTTTTTTTTTTGTATTCCACATTTAAAATATATTTTCTATAGACACTTATTTTTTAGAAGAACTAATCTTCCCACAGAGCAGTATTTTGAGTTTTAAATACTTCAGGCTTTTAATATATGACTTAAAAGATTACCTTCAGTTTTCCCTTGTTAAAAGCACAGATGGAAACTTGATATGCAGAATGCCCCATATCTACAAAGACCACATTTCTTGGCTTCTCTTCCAAGGCTGGCAGATCTTGCTTGTATATTCCATAGGCTAATGCAACTGGAAAACACCAACCCATGGAATGTAAGGGGAAGCCACACACACCACGCATTGAAAGCACCACCAAGAGACAGACACTGCTCATGTTTACCCTTTCTAAACACCTTCATAACTCTTACTAAAAAGTCAAAACCATGTTGGAAACACATTTTACACTGACAAGAGAGGAGATGTCACGTGAAGGTATGGCACTAATAAAGACTCACCCTGCATTTCAATTCTGCTTGTAGACAAATTAACACTGCAATTTGTGAAGCGGCACAGATTAAGATTCATGTCTACACCTCTCCCTTGAAATGCCTTGCTTTCAGAATTTTTTAGCTTTGAAAAGTTCAAGCATGCGCAAGAAATACAGAAATTGTTTTGGAAGACTAATTTACATGAGTCCAAGCTTTCGCTACCAGCACTCACTTGGAAAGCTTTTTGAGATTTTCCAAAAGCAAAGAGAATCAAGAAAAATAAAAATTACTGATTTAAGCAGCTCCAGCTTTAGTCCCCATGAAGTGTTATGTATTTCTATGCTCTACCTTAGAACTCATCAAAACCAAAAGAGGAGAGTAAATTACTTTATAAAAGCAGTTGTGCCTTTGCTACAGCTGAAAGGATTGCCACAATTTTAAGCACAGATCCCAGGTTTATTTCCAAAGCTATTCCCATAGTGACCATGTTCAGGCTAGCAAACCCCAGCTCTCGTGGTGCCTCCCAAGTGCTGCACATCACCCCACTGTTGTGTTTCCAGTTCCCAAACTGGATTGGGCAGTACTAGCCTGGACAGCTTTCTCCCAAACTCCCAATTTTGTAACAGCAGGGTGTCATCACCCTCACATTCAACAGCCTGAACGGCCTCAAAGGACAAGAGAAGTCCCAGCCCTTTACCTGCTGTAGTTTCATTCATCAGCTTCAGACAATTTAATCCTGCAATCTGTGCAGCTGCCATTACAGACCTTCTTTCAGCATCAGTGAAGAAACTAGGGACCTGTTTCCAAAAAACAATGACACTGGATATTATGGGATATGGATTTTTTAATTCAGAGTAGTCAGACTTGCCCATCAAGCTATCCTATAAATGGCATTACCACAAGAAACTCTTAAAAGCCTACCTCAAATTAATAAGGCTGTCTGAAACAGCTAGCTAATTCATTTTAGTGCATATTTTAATTAAAAAGTTCAAAATACAACAAAAATGAGGTGGCATCAGGGTTGTTTTAAATAAAGCAGATTTTAACACCCACACCAAAAAAAAAAAAAAAAAAAAAAAAAAAAAAGCAAAAAAAGCAAAAATCCTGAAAATGCTTTCTCAGATTGTTTTAATGAGTTTTTCATCTTAAAATCATCACCAGTTTGAAAAAGTCAACCCAACAAATATTCACACACAGCCCTACAGTAAACCAATGGCAGAAGCACTGCAGCAATGATGGAATCAAACTTGAACCTGTATCAATTTTTCAGCTATCACTGCCACCACAGTGCCAGCTTACAGCATGCTACAAGGTTCAGTGCCACCAAAAATAGCATGATAGAGCCCATTTAGGATCTGGCTGCAACCAGCTGGCACCTCTTCAGCAAGCGTAGAGCTCCATTTTGTTGTGTGTTTTGCTGGCTACCACTGTGGGGCATTGCCAAGGATCCCTGGGTGTGTGGGAGGTATTCTCCCAGTGTCTTCCTAAGGTGTAAGGAAGCAAGGAAAAAGATCAAAGCAGACTTCTAACAGCTGAAGTATACAGCTTTCCAGTTCCCATGTCTCTGCCTGACAGAGAAGGGATTAACTGCAATCCTTCATGCCCAAACTTCCCACCAGGGCCAGTAAACAAAGACCACATGAAAAGCACACACAGGACTTCGTATCCAGCAAAACAAAAACACTTTTTCAAACAAAGCCAAGTAGTTTGGGTGTGTCAAATTATCAGCATGACCCTCAGAGCCCTACGTTCAGGTGACTCTCAACTGCACTACAACAGTGCTCACTCATGTAACAAGAAAGAAATTTAACATGCATTTACGAAGTTTCTTTGGAAGCAAGGAGGATATGCTTACACCTACGACAGCTCTCATTTGTAACTAGAACTACAGTAATCAGAAATACTGTCTGTAGCCCTTGGAGACAGACAGACTGGATCAGTTTAAGCACTGTGTCCTTTCTGAAAATACACTCTCAATGTAACAACTTTTTAATCTCCTCACACATGCTCTTCAAGAAGTATTCTCATCTGGAGAACCTATAAAAAAGGCCTATTTTTGGGGATAAGACTTCTATCCACTACTTGTGCCTCCTAGCATTGTACCACCATATAAATGGCCCTACCTTGCATAAAGCTGCCTATGGATTGCCATATATACATCACAACTTACTGAAATCACACAGTCAGCCACTGGTTTCTTCAAAGCACTTTCCGAAGTCTCCTTCAGTTTGGCCAGCAGCATTCCTGTGATCTGTTCCACTGCAAACAGCCTCTCTTCATCCAGGTACCTCACCTGAAACAGAGAATTGGGATTCTTGGATCAATCACCTCAACTTTGCGCTCAAGATGGGCAGCTTGGACATTATTCCTGATGTTGAGCATTGAGACCCATTGAACACCAGGCTCTAGACTCAAGTAACTCCCTGTCAATTGATCTGTGCTCCCTACAACAAATCTTCAACAGTTCAGGTTTTTTTTGTGGTTTTTTTTTTGTTTTGTTTTTTTGGTTTTTTTTTTTGTGGGAAGCTTAATATCTCAGTTATCTCAAGGGACTATTCACAATGATACAGTATTTCTGCTGCTTGTGTACTTTGAATTTAAAAAACAGCAGCAAAAAAGGAGTGTTATACACGTAGGATCACATTGTCCTATAACACAAGCTAAAAATACAAGCTTTGGAGCAAGCCCAAGGAACATTTGCTTCCTGCAACAGTCTCTCAAGCACAGGAGGCAGGGAAGGTGTATTCCAGGCAATTCCAACAGTCCTGCCCTGTGCTCAGGAAATGCAGTTGAATCTTCAGCCTTCATGGCAGGTTCTGTGCCCTGAATTCCTAACAAGCCATTGTCTCTCCAGCAATCCCAAGCACTCCTGCCATTTAGTTTGGAAGCAAATTAAAAACGACTTTTTCAAATCTCATATTCAGAGCATTATGCTGTTTTCCTGACACTTGGTCTCTGCATGTCTGATGGGAACTAAATCTCACACTGCAATTATACAGATTTGAAGGTAAATCTAGTAAGGTCAAGTGAAAAGCTAATTCAACTATGGAAAACCAGTATGATTGGTAAGAAACCTCCATGGACATCTTGGAGAAAGTACAGACTTATTTAGAGACACAGGCATGTATTTGGTTTCCTTAAGGAAAATGTAAGTGACCACACAGGAAGTTAAGTGACAAGGGCCCTAAGTGCTCACCTCCACCACCAGAGAGATTCCACCCAAAGCTCTCACTCACCTTTACTCCTACTGAACCATTTGGCATCTTCTGAAGTTCATAGGGAAGTTTGGCCCTCTCAGCTTGTATGTAAGGATCTTCAAATGCTCTTCCATGCAGTTTCTTGAAGCCATGTACTGCATTTTTTACGTTTGTGACAATCTGCGGCAAAGATTATTTTCATTACCCATGACATTCTGATACAGAGGGCTGTGCAGAAAGGAATTTTTAAGTTGGGCTTAATGCACACACTGACCCTGTGTCAAGCCCCACAGATTCACTGAGAAGCAAAATGTGAGGAGACAAAGAATCATCTACCTTTTAATCTGTGGCCTCTGTTAGAAAAATTAATATGTACTTCTCTCTGACATATCCAGTAATTTGCTGCCATCAATTTTCACTGCACTTTTTATTTTAGAGAAGCTTTCTAATACAGCATGAAATATTTAAGCTCCTATATTGTTGCAGTGGCTGCCTGCAGGAATTAGTGGAGTTATTACCAATATTAACCTTAAATGAACCTTCAATAAATTAACACATTTCCCTTCCTTTAAAGTTCTCCTCTAATTCAGATCCCATCTGAATGTAACACCTTCCCACACCTACTCTCTCATCAGTGTTTTAACCTAGTTGTTTTCAGGACAGGCTTTTAAACAAAAAGGACCAAAACAAACAAATCCCAGTGAACACAATATTTAAGCTACCAAAAGAACCTACTCCAGGACAATCTTTCCCAAGATGAACTTGTTTACTAGCCAGAAAAGTTTTTGAACCATTTACCTGGCTCTTTGCTGCATTCCCAATGGCTCGGGTCTTGGATCCTAAAGATATACATGCTCTAAGTTTAAAAAAAAAAAAAAAAAGAAAAAAAAAAAAAAAAAAATCAGCTTTAAAAGAAAACATCACGAATTATTTCCATGATATTTTAGAACACCCA